TTTCTCTTCTCGAGCCCCTCCTTTCCGTCTCACAACCCTGTGTGTTCGGCGCCTGACCCGCTGCCGTGCCCTCCTGAGGAAGCTCTGTTCCCCTTCCCCTTCCCTAAGCTGCCCACGAAACTGCTCCGATACCCTCTGCCGGCTGGAGTGGACACTCACCCGCACTGCTGCCTCCTCCCTGCGTCGCCTTCTGTGGAGAGCTCAGGGGCCCCAGACTTGGGTCTTGCTATGGCGGGGGGCTCACTTGCTTTCCTGGTTGTCTTCCCTGGCTGCAGACCGGCCTTCCTGGCTGCCTCCGGGGCAGAACCTGGGGTTTATGCACAGCTGCGCCTCCCTTTGCTGCCACCCTCCCACCACACAGCCATACAGTGGAAGGAAGAACTTCGTCTGTGGCCCAGAATGTTGTCATAGCCACCTGACCAGTCCCTCTCCCTTCTGTCCCTACTGCTAGGGGATTTCTCCTGCTGCTTCTCTAGTCAGAAACCTTTGGTGCCACTCGGGCGTGTGGTGACACAGGCCTGCGCCCCCAGAACTCTTCCAGGCTGAGGCACAAGGATTGCAAGTTTGAGCCCAGACTGGCAACTTAGCAAGACTCAAAATTTTAAAAATTAAGGGCTAGGAATTCAGCTCAGTGCAAGGTTTGACCCCACTACTTTGCAAAACAGAAAACAAAACAGAGAGAGGCCTCTGTGCATTGCTGTCTACAGCACAACCAGTAGACAGAGTGAGTGAGCCACAAATGCACTCCAGGAGCCCATCTGATTTTATCCTGGGTGCCCATGTCCCTCCCGCCTCTGCATGCAGCCGTGTGCAGGCCGTGAAGAGCAGCAGCCCTCTGTCCATGCACAGGTCTGCATTTCACACAGTGCATCTTGGGTGTGCAGGCCTTCAGGCCCCTGCGTCAGGTACCGACCCCAAGTCCTCTCTCCCCACACCCACCGAGAGCCACGGCGACAGGCCTCCGCGGCCTTGACCTTCTGCTTTCCTCATGAGTCACAGTGCCATGACAGCACTTCCCATAGTGAAACAGGCTGCCATCTTGCCAGTGGGAGCAGAAGTGGTTATGTCCTGCTGGGAAGCTGCTGCCACTGTCTTTAAGAAGTGACCCGACTGCCCCAGGACATTAGCCTGCAGGTGTGCTCCCCAGACCTGAGCCCTGCCAGGCCGAGGTTACTGGCTGCTACATGAGTGCGTGGGTGATAGGAACGGAGGGTGCGGAGGGGCGGGCTGTGCCCTGGGGCGGCTGTGAACTGAGCGCAGAGCACGGCTTGGTTCCGCCCCACCCACTGGGCCGGTGCCTTGGCCTCCTGCGTGAGGCTCTGGGACCCCAGATCCATTTGTCCCCCTGGGCAGGCGGGCTGGAGAGCTTTGGTCCCAGGGCAGCAGGCAGGAGGTCGCCGACCTGGGCTCTGCCTGGTTCTCCTTGGGTTAAAGTGTAGCAGTGGTGTCACAGTGACAGCTACTTCCCGTGACACTCTTCACACCTCACCATGACAGAGGAACATGGTTTTTACTTGACAGGGTTTTTGAGTTTGAATGGAATTTATTGTTTTGTGCTTTTTTTTTAAAGGACCAAAATAAAATTTACTCTTAGCCATACTGCTGGGAGTTTTTATATCCTTAAATTTTCCACACACGGTAGAGTAACAGGGAGGTGATCTTGGGAAACTTGGGTCTTGATTGGATTCTGGTGGAGGTAAACGGCAGAAACTGAGAGTGGGGTACCAGGGCGGGGGACACCGTGCCATGTGGCACCTGGCACAGGTGCCTCACGGGGACAGGGCTTCCCCCTCCGCAGAGCCCGCCCCGCCCTGCAGCCCTTGTCTGGCCCCCTGGAACCTGCTGCTTTTCTGGACATTCGACCCCTCCCCTCGTGGGTAGTCAGTGGGAGCAGAGGAGGAAGCAGCAGGTGGCAGTGTTGGCAGTGTCCCCAAGGGCGGTGCCTGGGATGTAAGAGCGCCCAGACCTGCCTCCCCCACCATGCCAGTGAGTGGTGGCTCCTGCCGCAGTGCCCTTGGACTGACCATGGAGCCCGAGGCCGGGGTGCATCTTCCTGTGGGGCGCTATTAGCCACACTGCCTTCCACCCGAGCTGGGCGCTAGGCCGCTCCTCAGTTTCTCCTCCCGCTGTGGGGGGTCAACACGAAGCAGGCTGCGTGCCCTTGGCAGCGTCCCTTTCAGTGTCCTGGGGGCTGTGAGGCCTGGTAGGGGCTTCTGAGAGCAGGCAGCAAGAGAGGGGTCAGTTTGGTGGGGGCCACTGTGCCGGGGTACTGCTCCCTTTCTGCCCTGGCCCTGTGTACGGCAGGCAGAGAGGCCACAGTCGCCTTCCTCCCCGGAGCAGCCAGGGTGCGGGCCCCACAGTGCCAGCACAGAGGAAGCCAGTGGGGCCGCAGCGCTCATGGGTGAGTGCTCCTCACAGACTGCCTGGCCACACAGGACAGAGGTGGACGCCTGACGGATGCCCCCGAGCAGACAGGGTGCTTGCTGGAGGAGGAGTGGAGCCTTCACTGCCCCCTGGTGATAACCTCTTCTCCTTTGTCTTCACAGAGACTAATAGACAAGGCACGCGTAACCTGTGTCAAATGGGTGCCCGGCTCGGAAAGCCTTTTCCTAGTAGCCCACTCGAGTGGGAGCATGTACTTGTACAATGTGGAGCACACTTGTGGCGCCACAGCCCCCCACTACCAGCTCCTGAAGCAGGGAGAGAGCTTTGCCGTGCACACTTGCAAGAGCAAATCCACGAGGAACCCTCTCCTTAAGTGGACGGTGGGCGAGGGGGCCCTCAACGAGTTTGCTTTCTCCCCAGATGGCAAGTTCTTGGCGTGCGTGAGCCAGGACGGGTTTCTGCGGGTGTTCAACTTCGACTCCGTGGAGCTGCATGGTACGATGAAAAGCTACTTTGGGGGCTTGCTGTGTGTGTGCTGGAGCCCGGACGGCAAGTACATTGTGACGGGCGGGGAGGACGATTTGGTGACAGTCTGGTCCTTTGTAGACTGCCGAGTGATAGCGCGAGGCCATGGGCACAAATCCTGGGTCAGCGTGGTGGCGTTCGATCCCTACACCACTAGCATAGAAGAGAGCGACCCTATGGAGTTCAGCGGCAGTGATGAGGACTTCCAGGACCTCCTGCATTTTGGCCGGGATCGCGCCAACAGCACACAGTCACGGCTGTCCAAGAGGAACTCTACCGACAGCCGCCCCGTCAGTGTTACCTACCGGTTTGGCTCGGTGGGCCAGGACACGCAGCTGTGCTTGTGGGACCTCACGGAGGACATCCTCTTCCCCCACCAGCCGCTCTCCAGAGCAAGGACACACACCAATGTCATGAATGCCACAAGTCCCCCAGCCGGGAGCAACGGGAACAGCGTCACGATGCCTGGGAACTCGGCACCCCCGCCGCTGCCGCGGTCCAACAGCCTCCCCCACTCGGCTGTCTCGAACGCAGGCAGCAAGAGCAGTGTCACGGACGGGGCCATCGCGTCCGGGGTCAGCAAGTTCGCAACCCTCTCGCTGCACGACAGGAAGGACAGGCACCACGAGAAAGACCACAAGCGGAACCACAGCATGGGGCACATTTCCAGCAAGAGCAGTGACAAACTGAACCTCGTTACGAAAACCAAAACAGACTCGGCCAAAACGCTGGGGACGCCCTTGTGTCCCCGGATGGAAGACGTTCCCTTGTTAGAGCCGCTGATCTGTAAAAAGATAGCACACGAAAGACTGACCGTATTAATTTTTCTCGAAGACTGTATAGTCACTGCTTGTCAGGAGGGATTTA